TCAATATGCCAATTTTTGCCATAACTCCACCCTTCAACTCCCTCAGTGTGTAAGTTACACAGATTAATGCTGGCTAATTACACTGCCATAACAATTACAGATGATTAGCTTACTGAAAGATCCTACATTTTATAGACAATACATAATACAGTAATAAGTTTACAGTGCTGCCAATCTATTAGGTGATAGATTCATTATTAAATTTATATGAGCTCTGTAGGCCAAATTCAGAGAGTAAACACATAATAGTTACTTTCATGCACAGCTGTGGATAGCTGCTTTTTGGGTGTTATAATTGGTCAGTATATATCATATATATTGATTAGTATAATACCATTGAATGGCACATTTCACTATGAGTTATTAAGGTAATAGTGTCAGGGCAGTTCAAGCTACTTGGATGGTACAGTCCCAAATAAGGGAATGGAATATAAGTATTGAAAGCCACATAAGTCTCTCTCACACACACACACACACACACACACACACACCCCCCAGTGTGTGTGTGTGTGTGTGTGTATATATATGCGCAGGTTTTCCTACAGAAACAGCCCAGAAACCATACTGAACCTGTGGCAAGCTTACCTCATCACTGTCCCAAAATGCACAAGAAATGATTTTTCCAATGTTCTGAGCCACATGTGGAAATTTACATTATGCCACAGAGAGTTTAAAAATACTGCCATGTTGATTTGCTGTCATGCTATACCTGTAAATAACTGCACAACCTGTAGGGTAACACAAAAATATGTTTGAGGGCTGGAAAAGTTCTGCTTCTTTTTAATTTGCTATTTATTCTACATTCGCCCTTGAAGACAGAACCCCTGCACCCATCTCCTCGACAGGGGCTACCATCCCTGCAGCTTTTATCCTGCTGCGCCTTAACACACACAGTGTCACCCATGTCATGAATTTTGCTTGTCCGCAGCTTGAGAAGCAGTTCCCCCGCAACCCCCTGCACCGATCTTCTTGAAACTTGGCATGCTTTGTGGCCTCACGAGGGGTCACAACTCCTGCAGTTTTCACCCCCCATGATGTAACACATACATGTGACAACAGTTTTGCTTTCAGGAATTTGGGATGCAGTTTCCCCCGAGCCCCTGCACCAATATTCTTGAAATTTGGCAGGCTTCATGCTCTCAGCAGAGGCTACAACCCCTGCAAAGTTCATCCAAATCAGACAAAAAACAACAAGGTTATAGATATTTGTTTCCCCATTATACCCTATGGCTGGATCTCTGAAGTGCTTCAGAAGCTCCGAACCGCTTCAGAAAGCCTAACGAAGCCAGTGCTTCAATCCGGACAAGCTGCTTTGGATGCCAAAGCGTCCAAAGCTTCTCTGGATCCAAAGCTCTGTCCGAAGCCTCGCACAGCCCTAATCTATATACATCTTATGCAGTCTGGAGGAAAGAAACTAATTTTCTATCTCAAGAAGCCAAAGTTGCATTCAGTAAATACACCTGCAGTCATTGTATCCAAACAGTAACCCTGCAAGGGGACCATGCAGGGGAGATCTATGAATAAAACCAACAACACCCCATCTGCCTCCACTTGCTAATATAAAAAAGCTAAAGAGGAACTCAAGACTGTAGTGTTGTAATTCTCAGCCTCAGGCTTGCTTGTGGTCAGCTCAGCTGCCATATGATGCTCATTGTCTTTGTTTCCATCTTCCATTTGCATTACAAGACAGTGGAAAAGCTGATTACATTTCTGTGTGTACAATGGTAGTCACAGGGGTGTCATAGATATACAAATGGGAGGAAAAGCAGGTTGCTTGATAGTGAAAGGGAATGGGATGTGTCCACAAGACAATCTAGTAAGTTGCAGCCCATGTTCTCTTGGAAAAATCACAGCTCTTGTAGGGAGATTGACACACAACAATGTACATGCTGCTATAGCAATACATACTGTTACCTTGGACTGTGGACTTCAAAAATAAGCACTTGTGCTCTCCTGGATGGGTGGTTGCCCTGCAAACTCCCTCAGGTGACCAGGAGAAATGAGTATTGTACCAGTAAGTGTCATAAATTAGACAAAATATGCATTACTTTATTCATTATCCATTATGATTATCCAGGAGGATCACTTTTGTTTTCATTAATGTGTCAGGAATAAAATTGTTTGTAAGTAGTATCTTTCATGCACTTTATGTGAAACAGAATAAAAATGCCTCCGGTGTTATCCTATACTGTAACTTGTTGCACAGAACATGCCCCAGAGTAAAAGATGCACCTTGGTTTTGAAAGGCAGAATGAAAAAAAAAATTCCTTGTAGTATGTAACTGAGTAGCAGCAGCTGGTAAGCTGAACCTGCACATTGTTCTTTTTCCTGTGCTTCCCTACAGATTTTATTTTAATGTTTGCCTGGTATGTGGCAGAACCTGTTCTTAGTATATTTGTCACATATAACGTGCACTACAATTTCAAGTGGCTTTTTTTTTTTTAAAAGGTGTGTGCTATATGTGAGGAAATAAGGTAGATGATGTGTAATATGCTACATTAGTCAAATAGTTCTTATTTTAACACTGTTCTTTCAGGCTTGGAGGGAGGGTGGGGGTCAGCCCCTGGCTCTGGATCGCGGCTTTGGGTGGTAGAGGGGCTGGCTGGGGCATGTAGGTAGTACTGTATGGGGTTAGGTGGCAGGCTGCCCCTGCACTTAGCACCCTTGTACCCCAACTAGCTCTGGTCACAGTTTACATGTGCATTGAGGCAGTATAAATTACTCTGCTCTAGTATAGTACTTGTCCCAGACACTACTACCCTATGACAGAGTTATTAATTTACAATGCCCCAATACAGGCACACATGTAGGCGGTGACACTTACTGCAGAGCTAATTAGTCAACTCTGCAGTAAAGCGTACACGTAGATGTAGCATGCACAGGTACTGATGCATGCTACATTGGTCCCAGTCAACTCATCTTGGGAAAACATACCAGATAATGTCTATTCCCACTAGGAAGTTTAGGGCATGATATCATACATAGTCATTGTCTTGGCTTCTGTTACTCAATCACTTTCTATTCGATATTCTGAAGGCATAATTCTAATGGGGATAACAAAATTGCTAAAAACCACGTAGCTGAAGAGTTTTAACACAATTTATTTTATGCTTAAATAATCAACTAGATCATCCAGTGTTTGTTGTTTTCATACATATGTCATTAGAGCTATTATCAATGAATGCTGTTTTCATATGAATATAATCAACAAATTAAAAGATTTCACCAAACCCAAATAAAAATGCCCTTTAAAACACAGCAGCCTTAACAACCTAATATTACTCTGCTAGAATGATTACAGATGATTGGCTTACTGAAAGATTCTACATCTTATAGCCAGTACACAATACAGTAATAATTATACAGCGTGCTGCCAGTCTATTAGCTAATAATTTCTCTTCAGTTCATTTTAAAATATCCAAAACTTGTGCTCCTTAGAGCACCAACCCACCTCTAAAGCTGCAAGCATTACCCCAGTATAAAGCAAGAACAGATAGCACACCCCCCATAATGCATCTACTGTATATGTTATGTTTTTAGATCATTTCATTGAAAAATTGGCAACAGCAACAAATATTAGATGAAGGGCTTTGTGTTTACAGATAAAATCGTATTTTTCATGTTGCAGTATAGTGTTTGCAAAACTGGAAAAGACTTAATCAAAATAAGGTGAAACACATGCATCAAAATATTAGTACTCTGAAGAAAAATTTTCACAGAACTACAGAATTCCTCATTTAGGGAATCATTTAAATTTTGCAGCAGATTTTAAAGATTTTTTTAAAATCAAGCTAGCATTTTGCATATACAAACATTATAATTGATAATATACAAGAATCTGTGAAGATACACTCAGAATATCCCTGTAGGTGTAGCTATTTGAGACACCTGTTATGTTCAATGCAGTCACAATATTCTGTTTGTGATCTAAGAGGCAGTGCCTTATCAACACTTATTTTATTTTCTGTTAGAATTTATACAGGGTTATTTATTTACAGCAAAACTATTGATGTTTAAAAAAGAAACAAATAGTGTTTTATACCCTGACAGTTTGGGTCCAAGAAAAATAAGGCGAGCTGTTGTGGATTTAGTAATTTTAGTGTCTTTTTGTGGTTTAATCATTTCATCTTCTTATGTCCCCACTGGCCACAGAAATTTATTCCTTTTGTGATGACATCAAATTGCTTGAAATAAGCTGTTAACAGCGTGGCATCTTGTATATACACTGCATTGTTACTTGCACGCTCTCCAATCCTGCAAATGAAAGTGAATGTCCATGCTCTGTAAATTAGCTCATGCTAAAGTAATCATTTTTTTTGTTTGTTTTTTTCATTTAGTGGGGTTTTTTGCATAAAAACCATGCGGTTAATGTGTGGAAGCAGCAAACACACGCACACTTTATCAGTGAATGTTTAATTCCTGTTGATTTTTCTTCCATGACTGTTTCTCTAAAATACTGGCAGTAAAAGCACACAGTCCTGTGGGGAAAAAAGGTAGTAGAAAATGATTTCAGAATATCTCATCAAGGTCAATTTCAAATTTTTCTTTTACAATGTGAAAAAATTTAAATTAATATTACAACATTCTCTGATAATAAGATAAATCTAGATATACAATATATAGAAAGATAAATTAGTTAAGTGCCCAGTATGATGGCAAATGTCAGCAAATGTCTCTACTCCTGATGAATTGGCATTTAAAAGCATTTGGAACACATTACATTTAATTACAGATGGAAACAACAGCTTTTCAAACATGGCTCTAAGAATGATGCACTGACTTTGCCTGAAAGACGGTGCAACTCTAATAATCCTTGTTTTTTTTGTATAAGTGGTCATCTACATTCTGTTCCTGATCCTGCATTCCCTGCATATTCAAATCTCCCACTGACTTGGAAAACACTGATTTAATAGAATAGGGAATGCAGCATCACAGCTTTATTGAGGCTATGTGCAAAGCACGTCATTAGTTTAGGAATTTACTCCATTGATTTATGCCATATATTTCTCATTGGCCACTTAGCTTAATTTGGTAAGCAAGAATAGAATGGGTAAAAGAGGAAATATAACTCATACTCTCTTGTTTTTTGAAAATGGTCAAACTCCTGCACGCAGTAATTGCAACTGTTAGGGCTGTGCGAAGCTTTGGTCACTGATTCGATTTGGAGGAGATTCAGCCTGATTTGGCAGCCGAATCTCCGAATCTGAATCGACCCATTATTCTCTCTGTATTGAACCAGAAGCCTCTGATTAGATTCAGAGAGATTCAACGATTTGGCCATAGACATAGCTTTTATATTTTTTTTTCTATGTACCTCGAGGTACCAGGCGCAGCTTATGAACACTGAGATGGTGAGGTGGATGGAGCATCCCAAGGGAGCATGGGGGGGTCCCCAGCACGCTCGGTAGCAGACCCGGAAGTGGACCAGTAGCACTTCTGGTCCACTTCTGGGTCTACCGCAGAACACATGGGAGACCCTCCCCTGCCCCTTGTCTCGGTGACTGGTGCCTCCTGGGTTTGGGGGGGCACCCGGGGTCCCCCCCATGGCCAATTTTTGAGCCAGAGGGAGTGTGGGGGAAGTCCCCCCACACACTCGGCAGCAGACTTGGAAGTGGTAGCAGTAGTAGTGCCAGGGGCAGCAGTACCTTCAGGGGCAGCAGTAGTGCCAAACCACTGCTCGGAGCCTGGCTGGAAGCCAGAGCATAGCTCTGTCCAGCCAGGGTCCAGTTTTGGGTGGCGCATAGTGCGGCCACACATGCCACACCATTTTTAGTGGTAGTTTATTTTTATTTTTTTTTGACACCGAGATCTCCTGGTGCCAAAACCCCCCGCTGTGATGCAAATTAGCAGCACAGCACATAGGTGCACATGAACACATTCGGTTTGCAGCATCTCAAATGGCTTTGAGGTGCCACATGCCGCGTGTGTGCACTTGTGGGGGGGCACCCAGTGGGGCTATTTATACGCTAAAAATTTAGCATATTCTACTCTGAACAGTAGCCAGAGTACTCAGAACATCACAGGATTGAGTCACAACTTTGGTACGTTCTAGTCACTGCAAAGGACTGGGGATTCACTGTGTGAATTATCTAGAATGACATCAATATCAGTTTTACAGATGCTGTTCATCTGTTTCCTCTCTTTTCAGTCCCTAAAGTCTGTCCTCCATAAGGCTATGTAGGAAAAAGAACTAATTGTGAGGCATAAATTAAAAGATTAAAAAAAGAACCAAACCCAAACAAAATTAAAGATTGTGTAACAGGGAACCCTAGCCCTGTTACCAGAAGGCAGGTTGGTCCCTTTAAGACCAGAACTTTTGGGGCGCATCGTGCTGGCCAGGTGGGGGTTAAAAGCTGAGTCCGGCCAGCTAGTCAGGTGACTGGAAGAGGGCAGGCCAGAACTATAAAAACCCTGGGCTGGCGGCAGTAAGGGCCAGGAGCAAAAGGGGGAAGGAGTGCATATAAGAGCTCCACAGAGAGGCTTGGTGAGCGGTCCAGCTACTGCAGTAGGGGAACTACTGAGGACTCTCAGAGAAGTGGCAGCAGTCGCAGAAGAAGGACCATAGCAGATGGTGGGGAGCAGAAGCACAAACTCCTGAGAAAATGTAAGCTGGCATGCTGCCTTCTTTAATTATATTTTTGGTGGTGGTTATAACCCATGGACAGACTGTTTATAACTTTTGCCTGATTAACAACCAGTGGTTTGGGTGAGGCTATTGGGGAAGGAGGAGGCCTCATTGGGGGCCCACTACAGCATGGGGACCTCGGTGCCAGAGAGGGCACAGTATTTAGGGTGCACAGACCCTGGTGCCAGAGAGGGTGCAGTCATAAAAGGCTAAAGTGGCCTGGTGCACCTGTGTAGTTTGTTTTTTTTTCCGGTTTTTTTTTTTTTTTTTTTGGAAAGGGACACTGGAGGTTCGAGGCCGCAGCCCAGCTTTGAACTTGCAGCCTCCTGGCTGTTGGGCCGGTGGACAGGCTTCTGGGCTGGGGAGCCTGGGCTCCAGATTGGGGCAAAAAGGAGGGCCACAAGCCCCAAGACCATGGAGCTAGAGCCTTGGAGTCAAACCCTATCTGGTGGGTTTAGATGCGAAGGCCTAGCTAGAGAAAGACAGGGGTCAAGGCCAATGGTGGCTGAGAACCCCAACATACAAAATACAGTAGGCAGTCTTCCCCTTACAAGAACACCGGTATAATATTTCCATCAAGACATGGCAGGAGAGTAGAAAGCGGGACACGAGAAACCTTAAGGGGACTTCAAGGGTGCCCCACATAGGTTGCAGATAATGCAAAAGATGGCGCTGGGGCGGGCGAGCTGTTACAGAGTAAAATAACCTTATAAAGCAAACACATAACAAGGAAGGAATAACTGTACCAAACAGCAATAACCTGGAGACTGACCTTTCTTACATTTACAATCGTATCTGCTAGGTTGCTAGACAAAATAATTGCACTGGCTGTAAAAGTAGCAAGCAGAAGTGTAATGATATCTTATTCTAAAGCTGGTTTAGCTTTTGTGTTTGAAGATACCATAAACAGCTAGCTGCTGTTTCATTATAACTATAAAGTTTGGCCAATAAAATCCACAGGAAACATTTCAGTAAGGATTATTTGTTAGCAAATATTTACACTTGTTACTGGATTTTATTTTACAAAGACATTGATTTCATGACAAATCTTAGATCTGACTCTGGGAGAAGTGCTTCATTTAGTGCACACTATTTACATTTACTTGTATACAAGTAACTTACTACTAATATCCATATCTGACTATAAACAGAAATGTTGTGGATTATGAACTGCATGCATCTTGAAACTCCACTCCCATATATGTTTGCAATATCTTTTTTAAAAACAATTTGTAATAAGATTAGGCCCTGGTCCTCCATAAACTTTATCTTGTGCTTAACTTGAAACACAATGAGGTAGCCAAGTCCAACTTAATGTGTGTGAAGTTAATGTAATTCATACATGTTTGCATGCTGTAGGCTGTACAGTGGACTTCCCAGCCTAAGAGTTGGGCAAGTGGGAGAAAACACTTCATGTGCTCACTGGTTCACAAACACTGTTTGCTCCAGACTTAACAAGGGAAAGACGCATTAATCAACTGACCGTTCAGTGTTCTGCTGTTATGAGTAACTCTTCTTCTCCACATGTCTGACTTCTTTCTTTGTCTTAACCTTATAACCTTCTCCCTGCTTTAATAAAGAGGGATAAATATCAACACATTAGGCAGAAAGGGTTTGTAATGATAAGCCTGCTTCTAAACAGGTCCCATGTAGCTGTAATAGGATAAGTAAAAAACAGTTAGATCACATTAACACTTCATTTCAAAGACGCACACAATCTACAGCCTTTACCACACTGAGCTGCTAAAAGCACAGGCTTGAATTATTATCTAAAATATACAATAAACTGGAAAACACAAGTCTAAATTTTCAAAAATATCAATCCTTTGAGGTATCTCTTACTAGGTGCCCACTATGAAATTTCTAGGGATGACCTTCTGCACTTGTGATGGATTTGTGCATGCTGATCACTCACGGAAAAAAGTTGGACTACTAGGTGTCGCAGGTGGGCACTCAGATTAAGCCAACATTTTTGAAGATTTAGGCCTTTGTGGTTATGATATCTCACAACAACTGTGCTTTAGAGTGAGTAGGTTAGTAATGGAAGAAAGGGCATGGATGGAGAAGCCAGCAAAAAAGTCCACCAAAGCACAGCAGAAGAAATAAACTCTAGGGAAGTGACAAGTAGTGCAGGTTTCAGTCTTGCATTTTAAAAGAGCAGGCCTAAAGGGAAGTTATTTCAAATTAATTTAAAATAACTCAATATTCTTCTACAAATTAATGCCTCAGTTCACATCAGATTGAGGTATATGTTGCGTGGGCTATCAGTGGAATTTATTCTTGTGGGTGGTTTTATGTCAACGTGTACATAACTGTAGCTTCTTTTTATTTCAAAAGAAATTACAAGTCCATTTTTAATACCTAAACAGAATCCTGTTGTTTGAGAGGATTAAAGAACTGAGAAGGGGATGGAAGGATAGTCAGGCAGACTGACCAGTCTAAACCCTGTGCAAAGGCAGTCATTCCTGAGCCTTTTGAGTCAAATCTGAAATTGTGATTTCTCTTTTTCCTTTCCTCTTCCCTTGTGGTAGTTTTGGGGGGGAAAAAAGTTCCCTTGACATCAGTGATAATTTTAAAACTGAGACGTGGCTCGGGTAGCCTGCAGCTTCACTAGCATCTCTAAAGTAAAGCCTATATTTGAGAATGTAGAGACAGTTACAGCCTCCTAAGAGGAGTGTGCTATTTTTTTTCAAAGGTGCATTATATCCTCTTCTGTGCTTGCTGTCAGCTCTTCTGGATGGGAGAATGTGTGTATGTGTATACAGGGGTGTAGGTTGTAGCTGTGTTGGTCTAAGGACATAGGTTCTTTGGGTGCATCTGATATCTTTTATTAAACCAACTTAAATAGTTGGAAAACAATTACTAAGCAAGCTTTTGTGTATCTTTTTAAGTACATGTA